GGGCTGCTTTAGTAGCACAGCGCTAGAGCCTTGCAAAGGATTTCCCCCTTGCCTCGCTCCCAGGGAGATCTGTGTCTCTACAAAACCCATCCACTTGAAACTCGGTGTAGGTCCTGGAGAAACACGGTTTGCAGGTCCTCAGTAGCTCTGATCCTGCTGCAGTGACCTTCTCGGTGACTGGCAGGGCTGTGTTTGGTTGCAGCCAAGCTGGGTGCAGGGGAAGGTGCTTCCCTTGCTGACAGCCAGTCAGACGTGGAAGAAGACGAAGCATCGGGCTACCTAAGAGGTCACTGGGGAGAGATGTGTGCAGTGGTGGCAAAGGAGATGGATAAGGGAGAGCAGTTCTTAGGAAAGACTAGGTATGGGAAAAGCTTCAGAAAGGCTTGGTGAGGGAAGGATTGGAGATTTTTTTCCCTAGAAAGTCCTGATTTCCAACCATCTGTGCTGTTGCCTTTACGAGAGTAGGCACAAGGACTCCTATGCCACGTCTCCTCACTCAGTGCAGCTGGGCCAGACCGTGCTGATAGAGGGACACAGGCACAAAGTGGTCTCTGCCTCCACATCCTCGKCTCTGTCCTGGAAATGACCGGGGAGCTGCAGGACAGAGCTGTGGGGGACAGTCCCCTCTCTGCTCCACAAGGGAAGGCAGAGCACTCCAGAGGCTCCTCAGTGTAGACCACTGGGCCCCAGTGAGGACCCTGGGCACCACAGGGCTCCAGAAGGTTTCAGATGGACAGGAAGGTCAGGGTAGAACTTCAATCAGTCCCAATGACCACATGCAAAGGAGAGGTGGCTGCTCAGGTATCAGAGGAAATGCTGCTCTGYGCAGTAATTCAGAAGGTCTCATCTTCCTGGATGGAGACCCCTTGCCAAGCAACACAGCCCGACTGAGTCCTTGTCTATCTGTAGACCACAGTGGAGCAATGGCCCAGGCAGGAACAGAAACCTATGACCATCCACCCTGAGAGGCCTCCTTCATCTCCCAGGGATCCTGTAAWGCTCAAGAAAAGGCAATGGGGACACTGGGGACACCAGGAAAGGACAAGATGTAGGCTAGCAGCTCCTTCAGTTTGGGTGCAGGGAGAGCAACAGCCCCCATGTCTCAGCATTGCTATCATGCTCCTGGCACAGGCAAGGGGAGACATGAGCCTTCTTCTCACCACCCATGCACATTCCCCTCCCAGACTGCCCACTCCTGCCCTCCTCCTGCATGGCTGGCACCTGACGTCAAGCAGCAGATGCAGCCTGTGCCCAGCAGGCTGAAGAGGGGGTGGCACTGGCAGAAGCCTGGAAATATCTCGGCTGCTGACGGCGCTGATTATTCTTAGCACCCCGTGGAGGCGCAGAGGGGTTCTGCCTCGCAGCATGGCCAGGACGCAGCACGCCGGCTGCCCTGGAGCAGACAGCCTGGCTGCATAAACTGATTGCCACCAAGGCATCCGTGGGGAACAGACCAGGAAGGTGGCCCAGCTAGATGGTTCCATACACCCTTCCACGGGGATGGTTCAGCTGGAGCCAGCATCCACAGGAACCCAATGGTCCTTGTAAGACTCGTGGTGAAGCATGACAGCAGCACAGGAGCTGGGGCTGGGTCTGGTTCCAGGGGAGGAGCTATAGGAGCTACAGAGGRGAGCCAGGCCAAGAAAGGCTGCTGGAACGGGGCCACGCCAACGAACCGTGGCCATAGGCGTCTCCGGGAGGTGCCAGGTGCTGCACCCAGCCTGGCAGCCGCSCTGGCCCTTGCGCTGGGCACCCGCCTTCCACCACGGGCACGACCTCAGGGCCTCCATGGGCACAGCATTCGCCAGGGAAGAGACCACCCTGGGCAAGAYACAAGGGCCCAAAGGGTGCCAGCCCCGGGGTGTCCTACCCCTGGTGCCCACGGGATGGCAGCAGCTTCCTGCAGCTCCAACCCCCTGTCCCTGCCCCAGACAGAGCCCGGTGTGGGGCACAGCTCTGCCTGGGGCAACAGTCCCCTGAAGCACCAGGCACTGCCTGGCTCATAGCGCTTCTCCAGCCCCAGGAGCCCGTCCTGCACCTGTAGGGATGGAAGAGAAGGGACCCCAGTGCCCTCCTGCTCCTCAGGGTCTCCTGGGACCTKCTGTGGTCACGCTTCCTGGGCAATATCGTGCAGGAATCGTCTTGCCAAGTGCAGCGCAGCCGCAGTGACAAGCTGTACCAGTGCTCCTGGCACATCCCACTCAAGGCGCTGCACGGTGGCGGGTGTGAAAAGGAGGAGAGACTGTGAGTGAGCTCCCTGCACCGGGCAGATCTGCAACGCTCAGAGACCTCCCTTCCCTCCCGCTGGGTCCAGGCCTGTCCATGAGCCTAGGCAGAACTCCAAGGACTGAAGAAGCATCTCCAAAGGGGTCTTCAGCATTTACTAGGGCCATACAAAGAGTGGGCACTCCTGCATCTGTCCCCGATTGTATGCGTCACCCTCCCTTTGGGAATCTACCCAGCTTCCACTTCAACCCATAGTCTCAAATCTGTTGCAGAATCCAGAGCCTCCTCTCAGCCCAGACATCTGTATTTTATTCCTTCAGCCTCACCCAGCTGAACCACACCCCAGAGAGCCCTGGGCCACCAAGAGACCCAAGCCACTTTGTGTCACCACCTTGCCTCTTTTATCATCCACTGACTTATCAGCTGAAAATTTTTATCTTTCCATGGAAGCTGGGGAGGAAAATGCTGAATGGCCCCAGGTCCAAAACTGCTCTCTGTGAAGTGGGGCTAGGAAGCACTTCATTTGAATAACCTGACCTCTTCCAATGCACTCTTTCTCCACCAGGTTCCTCTAGGCCATCCTGAAGGTCCACCTATGCAGGCTGAGCAGTTAACAGACCCAAAGCCCTGGTCTGTGTCTCTCCATTCCTGAGAAAAGGAGTATGGACAGATTCTGCGTAGACATTTGAGGGCTCTCCAACACTGTGACAGAGCTACGTGSCACTGCAGGAGCAAAACCAGGCCTCTCCGACCGCGCAGTCCAGTGGGACACRGTCACCGCATTCCTCCCATCCCACGTCTGCCTGCTCTACTAATGCCACCCACTGCCCGAGTCACCCTGGCTGGTAGGACCAAGGCTTGGCCTACTGGAAGATTTCTGAAGTGCCTCTGGATTCTCCCCAGGACTGTCAAATTTATAAAAAATTAACCATGCTGGCCCAAGATCTCCTTCAGCACTTTTACAGCTGTTTATCTGTAGTAGACACTGCCTTGTGCCTTGCTTGGTTACTAATGGAGTGGAAAGTACTTCATTCTCATGTGATACAAATGCATCTTCCTCCTTCTTGCCAAATATGGACCAGAAATGTTTACTGAGCACTTCTGCCTTTTATTCAGCTGCATTAACAGCCCCATCAACATCGCCTGCTACTGCTGCTACCCCAGCAGGATCTCTGCTGTCCTCCTGTTGGTTTGGGTGTTTTTGTCTTGCCAGATGGATTTTGACCCGTTTTATCTCTCCTTATCAATGGTGTGCACTTCAGACCCTCAGCTGTCCCCTGACTGCTGCTTTCTGCAAGCGCTTCCGTCAATCAGTTTGTCATTCCTATGTATAAACTTCCTCCCGCTGCCTCCACTTCCCCTCTCGTCCACAGCGAGCTTTCAAAACTRTCTTCTCTTTCACTCGGGTAGTCGTGGTGGCTTCTTGGATCCTCAGCCAGCTCTTCTTGAGCAGCTCCCAATCTTTCTTTCCAGATGGCTTCTCCATCAAGGGGGAGAGGGATCTGGCTCCGAGGGATCCTTGCCTGGGGGTGATCACAGATCAGCCCACAAAGCCCAGCTTCCCTCCCACAGTCCATTCGTTCTCTCTTGGAGAAGGAGCTCCAGACCTTGGGATGGCTGCAGCAGCTCCAGGAATGGAAAGTTGTCCTCTCTCCCCATGTTCCTGCACGTGATCCTAAGCCAGATCATCATTGCTAGGGAGACGCTCCCATCGGGCACATCAGTTAGGTCACATTTCTTTCCCTCTGTGGAAATTTCCTCTTTTTCTTGCTTACCCAAGTGCCCACCACACTGATGGTGATTAAGGACTGCTCTGCACATCCTCTGCCACCCTGGCTCTGTATGTGTATGCTCTACCTGTGCCCCTTTGCTTGGCTCTTGGGCAAACAGTTTCCAGCTACAAAGCTGGTGCTTGCTAACTCCAGGCGTTTCTGCCATCCTGGAGACTTCATTTTGTTCCTGTTTCTTCTTCTCTGCCCCTGCCCCTGGCTCATGCAGTTCTATGTGGTGCTCCCCACTGACGTTTCAGAAGACCCTTGGCCATCCACTCCCTCTGCTCCAAGCCCACTAGAGGCACGGCCYGGGACAAGAGGTCCCTGCTTGCTAAGGGAGCTGCTGGGAAGCACCGCATGGCCCAGCCACCCCTCAGCACCCTCTCTACTGATGTGTCACTAGATGTGGGGCTGTGAACCCTAGGGGGGCCTGATGGGGACCTGCGAATGACTCCTGACACCTGCTGTCTCCAGCACAGGGCAGGGAGCGGGAAGGACTTTCCAGGGACACCGGCAAATGCATCCCAGTGCGGTAGCCCCATGCAGTGGGTCCAGCAGGTTGGGAGGGTGCCCAAGGAGCCGCCCCGCACCCTTGGGAGCCCATGGCCTGGGTGCCGGGTGGCGGTGGGCGGGTGCCCGGTGGGACGGGCGCCAAGAGCGACCC